TCAATAAAATAATTGACAACGGTAAATATGTATCCTTTAGTAGAACCAATAATTGTAGAACCAAACTAATCCAGGATTCTCTGGATACATACTGAAAAATTGTAAAATACATAACATAATCAAAGGCTAAATTTCACACGTATCAGTTGTATGAAGAGAGAGCACTGGGAGTAGTGATAAGAGGTCTCCACCTTTCAACTCCACCTGATGAAATCAAAGAAGAATTGACGGATTTAGGCTTCAATGTCCGCCAAATCATCAACGTTTATAAAGAAAATAAAGAGCTACTGGGTTCAAATAACAAAACAGCATTATCACTATTAAAACCACCCAGCAAACTACGAGGGATGCCAAACTTATAAAATATTAAAATTAAGAACACAGGCAACACTCAGGCAGGCAGAGACCTCCAGGACTCCCAGACCACCCCGCCAGACGTGTGACCAAAGAAGTGTCCTTTGCTGATATGCTAGGAGAGATTGAACAGACAAATCAACCTCAGGCCCTGCCGCAAACAATTCCTTAAATATCCTCAATAAAACCCCTCTCCATTCTCCTTTAGAATGCGAATGGCGTTCGAAACCACTGCAACGAACTAACTATTTTTCTATAGGACTATAACATTGACATAGCCCTAATAACTGAGACTCGACAAACTAACAAACGACAGTTGAACATACCTGGTTCAAGATTTATCGAATTGACCACCCTGAACAGCGCATGCAGGCACAGCTATCAGCATCCATCAATCCCTCTTTCATCACTTGTATCCTTCACCAGTTCATAATTTCCTAAAAACCTGAGCAATAACAATCCAAATCTCAATTTTTCCAATTACAGTTGTCGCAGCATACTCTCCACCTAAACGAGCAATACCTGAACCTAACTTCATTTCCTTTCTTAATTCCTTAGGACACCATTTCCTTATAGGTGCAGATTTTAATTCCAAATATTAGCAATGAGGAACCAGAACCACGAATTCCCGCGGGCGAACATTGCTGTCTGCTCTTAATTCCCATAATAGCCAATTCCTTTCCCCTGATGTGCCTACATACTGGCCAACCGATCCTAACCGTAATCCTGACCTCCTTGACTTCTTCATTCACAAAGGTCTAGGGCCGCTAAATTTCTCAATTTCACGGCTCGATAACCTTTCCTCAGACCACAGTCCGCTAAACCTAACTCTTTCCGCATCTCCTATTCCCAGAGTATCTCCTCCCTCATTCATCAGAGACCCAGTCAACTGGAACCTTTTCCGCCAAATAATAAAAGAGCAATAGACCTCAGACTATCCCTAAAAACCAACTAAAACCTAGATAATGCAGTGAGTTTCTTCACCACCATGATCCAACAAGCAGTCTGGACTGCATCCTCACCACTCCCCTCCAAAAAATCCCTTAAAAATAATCCTTTACCCCAAAACCTTACTGACCTTATTAAGTCCAAAAGCCAAAATAGGAACCTCTGGCAAAGAACCAGGCACCCTGATGATCGGAAATTACACAATTACTATTCCAAATATGTTAAAAAAGAACTGTCTTCCTTTAGATCGCAATCCTACAATTACTACCTTTCTTCCCTCTCTACTCACAACTCCCTCTGGAAATTGACCAAACAAATTTTTAAATATCAATCTATTTCCCACCTACTCCGACAAAAACCTGGGCTTCGTCAGATGAGACTAGAGCTTAAGAATTTGCCAAACACCTATCCAAGACATTCACTCCCCACCCCGAACTCCATCCCACCCACACTGCTGAAATTATAGAACTCCTCTTTTCTCCGATTCCTCTCTCCTTGGCTCCTAAAGCTGTCAACCCCTCTGAGGTAAAATTCCTTATAAACAATTTGAAACCTAGAAAATCCCCTGGGCACAATCTCCTTACTACCCAGATCCTTAGACAACTTCCCAAAAAATCAATCATACTCCTCACATACCTATATAACTCACTTTCCTCTTATATGGAAACACTCCATAATCATCCTCTTCTCTAAACCAGATAAACCTGTTAGTAATACCTCATCCTATAGACTCATAAGCTTGCTCCCGAGCCTCTCACAAATCTTTGAAAAAATCCTTCTCAATCTTATCCTATTTTCTATTGTTTTTATTTTATTGTATATATGGTATGATTGATTCATACATCCCAAATACTCAATGCCCTTAATTGAGGCAAAATGTTTTTTTTTTTAATAAAAAAAAATCCTTGATTGTGGCCAATTGTATTATTTTTCCAATAAAAAGAAAAATATATATAATCTATGTGTCTAATGGGAAAAGTTATGCGGCAATTCATTTCTTTGTAAATCGTGGGCTAAAACTCGAAAATTGAACTTGCACGTGTAAAAATTCCAAACATTCAATTACGATTTTTCCGAAAATATGATTTTTGTACTTAATAGGCTATTCACAGGTAACACAGATATATTACTGCTTCGAATAAATATTTTAGAACCAGGACCTGTGTATCATAGATGAATTATTTACCATATTTTTTTTTTCATTGGAAATTTCTGCACAGCCAGTCATAATATTATGAAGCTGAATTCCTATTGTTTGCTAATTCCATTCTAAATATATTTCTTTGATGAATTGGAGTATTGTGTGATACTGATGATTTTTATAGGTTTGTTCGCTGTCAATATTTTTTTTTTATAAAGATTATAATTATTATAAGAATTAAAAAAAAATAATAATAATCTACATTTTTATAGGCAGGGTATTCCATAATTATATGTTGGAGGGTTTCTTTATGGTTAAATCACATTTAGAAGAGTCTTCAATTTCAATGAGCAGTATGTATACTTTGCAGAAATCATGATTTGGTATAAATCTTCAAAAAAATGTTTACTGTGTCTTTTGGTTGGTTCAATTCAAATAACCATATATTTATTTAAATTCTCTGTACATTAAAATTACAAATTCTGCATGTGAAAGACTTTTGATAATGGTGGGACCATTTATTTATCATGTTTTTTGTAAACATGGTAAAATACAAAAATAAAAAAAGTAATCTGTATATGACAGTTTGATATCTTTACATGAGGGGGGGGGAGGGTTAACGAAAGTTTTAGGAAAACGGTCTAACTCATCATTTTCCAGGATTCCCATGTTTGATTCGACCCACATAAATATTATTTGTTTTTCATTGTTTATTACATAAAAGTATTCTTCGATTACGTTAACTAAAGTTATTTTTATCAATAAAATTAATAATTTCGAGGAAATGACTTTATTTAACACTTACACCTTCGATCCATGCTTCAATTCACTTTTATTTCGATGACGTCTCAGGCCATTTGCATGCCAATTTTCATGTCGAAATATTTATATCATTATCCTTATTATATCATATATCATATGATATATCATATATCATATACATACATAATTGAATAATCTTCAACGCTAAATGACTTTTTAAAAAGAAACTTTATTAAAGAATGACAGTGAATATAATATAACTGGTCTAATTGCTATCTAAAATAATAACTAGTCTACTTCCTAACTAATAATGATTCTGAATGTTTCTCATTCTAAGAGGAGATCGTATTTATAAGGATTCCTTTATTTATAAGGATTATAATTTATAAGAAAGGAAATTAGTCAGTGCTGACATTGCACAAGCGCGGACCTATAAGTATATATATATATATATATATATATATATATATATATATATATATATATATATATATATTATATATCTTAATATATAATATATCTTAATATTATTATTATTTTCTATGTAATATTAATTTTATATAATTATTGTAAAAATTTTCTTTTTTATTCTTCTAATATTAATTTCATGTGTTATTTATGAAAAGTCAATTCTTTGGCCCGTCAAAAATTAAACATTTTTTTTTTTAAATTAACATTAAATGCTACTCATTTTCGTAGTTTTTATACAAAAGCCGTAGTTATTTTTATCTGTAGTGCTATAATTTTTTATTGCTAACATTATTAAAACCTATGACTAAAAATAGTGCTGTAGAATGGTAATGTATGGCAAGTAAATATTTGATAGTAAACGTCGCATTACGTACTACGGGAAACGGTTGGTATATCGACGTGGAACAGGATATGATCGTGCTGTGACAAATATGTTCAAAGATTCGGTGGGTTCTATTCCGACTACGAAAGTTGGTGTATGTTAAATGTGAATTTATTAATAGGTGCCTAAGACGGCTGCTAAGGGAGAGGTCAAATTTCTAATGCATTGGCCGGTAGGCAAACAGCTAGTGAATTCCACATTAAACGGCATTAGGGTGGGAGATGGATTACAGGAGGAGGGTATTCGGTTTCGGGTCCTCTTATCTTCGCTTCCAACTCCATTGTCCCCTCTGCTCTTTATCGACGTTTGGGAAAGTTTTAATTGTCAGTTCAGATTGATTTATTTTTTTTTTTACCTGGTATCCTCTTTTAACCTTCCTTTCTCTTTTTTAAACTAGTTTGCTTTATTTTTAAATAATTGAAAGGAATAAATGTCTATTTAATCTTTATAAGTTATTTTTTTTATAATTTCTCTAATGCACATTAATAATAAGATATTTATTTAGTTTATGGTGCATAACTGAACTGATCATAGCCAACTTATTCTGATTTATGTTTTAAATATGCTCGTGTTGTATTTTTTTCAGTCGTCATATTGGGTAAATATGATCATAAAGTAAAATAATACCTAACTCTTAGTGAGTACTGAAGAGAGATACTTCGAGGGTTCTCTTTACAGAAAATATAGCCCTACAGAAATGTCTATTACACTCGTTTCTGAAATTTATCGTTTATCTTTCACAGTTGGGTGGGATTTTATGACCTCGATCTGAATTTAAACATAGTTCGTATAACTAACACATACAATATTGCTCCAAATTGATTTTTAACTTATTTAATGATTGACTGAAAAAATGTTTTTGAAAATTGATCTTCATATTTTTTTTATTTGTTTCAGGAGAACCAAATGGAGTCTCAGAGCTTCTCGAGATGACTTTTGAAGATGTGGGTGGTCCAATTACTGCTACTAGGTGTTGCATCTTGCATCGTCCTCGCTGCTCCAGACTGGACCGACTGTCCTTCTGCGTGCAGTTGTAAGTGGACGTCAGGGAAGAAATCTGCCTTCTGTACCCATGCAGATTTTACAACTATACCTACTTCTCTTAACTCGGATATGCAAGTACTAGACCTATCCGGTAATAAAATACCTTACCTTAATAAAGAAGCTTTTAAAAGCGTCGGTCTCTTGAACCTTCAGAGAATATTTCTAAGAGGCTCAGGAGTTCACGAGCTACACAGTGAAGCGTTCAAGGAACTTACCATACTTGTTGAAGTGGATCTGTCAGATAACTTGATTTCGACTCTTCACAAGGACACATTCGCTGGAAATGACAGACTCAAAGTGCTGTATCTCAATGGTAACCCTTTGACGGAATTGCAGTCTGCCCAATTTCCTCACCTACCATATTTAAAAACCTTAGAGATGCAACACTGTCAAATAGCGAGGATACATAAAGACGCTTTTAAGCATCTCCCTTCTCTAGAACTCCTCAATCTTAATGGTAACAGATTGAAACAAATATCGGAGAGCGTATTTCTGCCAGTAACAAAACTGAAAAGTCTGTCATTGGATGGCAACCCTTGGAAATGTGATTGTGAGTTGCGAGGTTTCCGAAATTGGCTTTTATCTTCCAATCTGTATTCGCATCCACTGACGTGCACCGAACCGACTTCCTTGGCTTCTCAGCAATGGGAAGACATTCAGCCACTCGAATTCTCTTGTCCACCGTCAGTCCATGTTGAAGAAACAATGATTCAAGAAGAACCAGGAGGCAATATCACTCTCAAATGTCGGATTTTAGGAGATCCAGAACCAGAGGTCATTTGGTTGTTCAATGGAAGGGTTCTAGGAAATTCGACTATGGATCAGATTCTTCTGAGGCAAGAAGAAGATGGAGACGTCAAGCCCGAAAAATGGACCACTCTGAATATAATGAACGTTAGTGAGGATGATGCCGGTGAGTACACTTGTTCTGCTAAGAACATCGGTGGCCAAGCTGCAATAAATGTTTCACTCATATTGCCTGAAGTCATAATCGCAACGACATTGAGCAAAAGCGATACTTGGTTCATGTGGGCAGTGTGGGCAGGGTCTGGCTCGGGAGGAGTAATATTCATCACCTTAGCAGTGTGCCTGATATGTCGGTTCCGAGGAGGCAGTTCGAGGTACGCGAGGCAAGGGAAAATAAAGCAGAGTGAAAGCTACACTGATCAAGATAAGAAGCTACTGGATGTAAGCATTACTACGACAACCGACCGGCAGACTGGCAGCTGTGAAGGCTTAGGATCCCAAGCAGATATTGAACTATTGGAACATTCCCTTCAATCTATACCCCTGGAAGTTTGTGATCCTGTTCAGATCACGATTGAAAGTCACTCGGCGGAACCTGTTTCAGTCTATCAACCTCCGCCAGAGTTCTCAACAAGTATTCTCCCTCCCGGAGCTTTTGGTAACATCTTCATCTCAGTGTCAGTAAGTCAGGAACCCCCTGATGCACCGAGATACCCGGATTTGCTTGATCTGCCCCACCGGAAGAGTGTCAGCGTGGCCACGGAGCCATATTTTGCTACCTTGCCCAAGCGTCAACCGGCGACTCGGCTGAAGGAGACAGAACCAGTACTCCGTGTAGGACCTCAATATGACAACATGGGTCCGAGGGTGACCGCCGGTGGTAGCTCTACTATTTCCCTTCCTGATTCGACCTCTGCTGACGACATTCCACCTCCCCCACCACCACCAAACTGCACTCCTCTCACTGTAGAATATGTATCCCTCTGAAATGCCCGGACTTTTTGCTGAGATTATTAAGATGTTTGTAGTTTTCGTCCAACATACCAACAAACATTAGGCACTGACACTCATTGATGCTACGTTAAAATAAAATTAATCCAGATTTGCATTTCATAAATGGATTTGAAACAAAAAAGATAATACACATCCATTCGTTGGAGATATATTACTTCTCATCAAGCTTAGTAACTACCAAAATTTCCTGTAAAACATCTTGAAAATGAGTACTCTTGTTTGTTTATTATCCTGATCTCGTGGATGGTGCTATATTGTTTGTGTATAGCTCCATCTGTAGGTCATTAAAAATAAAAACCTTGGTTAAGAATATTTAACTGTCTATTTCTAAAAAAAAAAGTAGAATATTTTTGTGCCGGATAGGTTATTAGGATGTCGATTCTAAAAGTATAATACACGAATTGACAAAACAACTCTCCATAATGAACACTGTGTATTTCAATAAAATATTTATTGGGAATATGTCTCCTTTATTGTGCTTGGTATTGCAGTTCGATAGTTATTCGTATAAAAACAGTGGTAATATCAGTTTTGACTTGACTAAGTGTTATATATACATCAGTTACTGAGTGTGGTGCTCACCATAGCAATAGAAAAAACAACCACTTCTATGATGGATGTACTAATCATCCAGAAGTTATGTGGATGATAAATATTTCAATGGGGTACGTAGTGATTAAACTAAAACTGCATATCAAAAAAGATAAATACTTGACAATATCTTTTGAATATGTTCTCATTGCGGCTTAGGAGAGAGGCACTCAACTTCTTGCCTGAATGATGTATATGTGTACATATTGCTTAAATCCTTGCAAGCACGGTAACCCATTATTGTCACTTGTACTTTTCTGAAGAAAAAAACCTCTGTTTAGGTTGCGGTGAGCACTGTCTGAAATATAATACAAATGCTTGCAACCTTTCCAATTTCTCGGCCTATAATTATATCCCCTATATTATTTTACCATTGTAAGATACAGATTAGATTTTCGGTGTTATTGTCATTTACTGAGGCAAACAATATAACTAAATTGTATATAAAAGCCGACTGTTAATACATCAGCTGAGGATGCATAAGAGAAATTTTCCTTGAGATCCAATTGAATTGCTGATAGTTTTTATTTTTATTTTTTGATATCTTCTTTTTTTATTTTTTCAATGTTTATTTTTATAACATTAAAGCGATAAAGCGTTAAATTATTATATATATTTGATTTACTAAGTCTCCATTTAGTATTTGTTATTTGATTTCTATCTCTTCAAACGAAATATTTTTAAATTTTAAGAAATCTCGTAGATATTTAAATTGATCATCGACCATAACAGGCTAAAATATGCTTTATTTTCTTGTCAATCTACAAATAAAAACAACCGCTGCAAGTAATATCTCGCTCCGTGTAAAAAAAAATAAATTGTAATTATTGCGAAAGACAAGAAATGGTGGTGTTTAAGCTGGAGTGTCTTAGTTGGATCGGAAGATTTCCATTCTGACGCATTTTCATCCACATCTGACAATTTTATGTCATGTCATATGTGAACTTATGCGCCAGACTAATCGTAAAGGATGTTTTAGGAATGAATTCTGGGGCCAAATCTGAAAATTAAATTAGTAAAATATGTTGTGAGTAGTGCGGATTTTGTAATTAGGCATAGCTCAAAAACGGTCGGAAAGACTCGGTAGCGAAATTATCGGCAAAAATGAAATTGGGTTTATTGACACAAATATTTCGGCTAAGCTTAACCAAACCCTCTTTTGTGCAGTTTTGGTCGAATGATGGCAAGGTTTATTGTAACTTTTTTTTTGTTAATTATATATATATACATATGGATAATAAGCCGAACAAATGTAAAGTGCGACTGTTTTCTGTAGCATTTTATCTTCGCTTTACCTCAAAAATATTTTGGTGTCATATGTGTGTCGATGTTCCCAACCCTATCCAATGCCTTGGCTATGTATCAAAGTGTTACATTTATCGTTTCCCTTCCTTTTGATGTTATATACTTAGTGTTGCATATTCTGTGCTAGGAACGTTTCGAAAAAGAGAGACAATTTTCCATTAACTTGTTTTTCTTATATTTAAAAAAAAAAATATATATATAAGTATATTTCATGTTGTATTTATTATATCAATGTGATAATTAGAAGTATATCCTTCATTCTGATTTGTTGAAATCTAATATTTCTTTGAGAATTTGAGATAAGTTCTTCAAGTAAAATGAAATACAAGATTATTGTTATTATTGCATGTATTAACCATTTTTTGTTAACCATTAAGTAATGCTCCAACATGAAGAAGAAAAAAAAATTGAATAGTTTTTTATCAAAAATTATATGATGTATATATGACTGAGTTTTAAAAATTAAAATATAACTATTAACTGTTTCATTTAATACTTTATTTAAGAACGTTTCATTATTAGATTTAATACACATGTTTGTACATGTTTCAAAAACTAAAAAGAAACTCGCTGTTAAGTATTTAAATATTAAATTAACAAAGTGTGTGGACCCCCAGAGATGAAAATAAAATTGTATTATAATTGATTTCGTTAATATTAATGTGTATCATGTATATGGGATTTATTATGTATGTATAGTAAATTTAAGTTTTTGGAAATAGTTTTTGTTAGTAAAAAATGAAATCGTTTAATGTATAGTTACTAACATTCAATAAAATTATACATACATATATATATATATATATACACACTTAATATGATCTGGGCTCCCATGTATAATTTTGCCAAGATTGGAAAATGTGAAAGTGATATTGGTCGTAAATTATTACTTCCCTCTTTTTAATGTATCTATCAGCAAGGCCTATGCTTTATTTGAAACTCTGAGATAATTTTTAAATGTAATATATATTTTTTCTAGCAGTAAGGTTTGTGAATTTCTGCATATCCTAATGTTGATTTTATGTAACTTTTGTATAATATTATGTTTATGATTTAGATGTATAGTCATTTATAATCATGGAATGCTATTACTTAGTGTTTAGTTATAGAGGATATTTAGATGCTCAAACAATTCTTTCATAATGTATTTGAAAAGTCATTCTACTGATTATTTGTGTATTATATAGTAAAAATAAATTATTGTACAATAATTTATATTTATTTACATATTCCCTAATTATGAGCTATTTTAGTAGTATTGAAATAAATAATTATTGAACATTTCTAATAATTTTTCATCATAATAAGAAGGTATTTAACGAAAAGTGCCTTTAAAAGTAATGTAGTACTGTTTGTAAGGAAATTATAAAATAAATGTCTAATATCATGGTATATAATATGTTTGATAACATTAGATAGAATTATGGATCAAATAAAATCTGCCCATTCTGGGTCGCTGCAATATAGGTGAGAATCCTAACTTTTTTATGACAAAATGTTCTTTTACAAATGTGTACCCACAGACGGTTTAAAGAGTAGCTTTCAGGCTGAATTATCTACCCCCCTCCCCCCCAAAAAAATATATTTTAATTAGTCCATATTTGTTTCTAGGAGTAATCTGATCTTAATACCTAATCACTCACAATACATCGACAGCCATACAACAAAAGCCTGTAGGGACAATTTTTTTTAGAAAATAGGATTTTGATCTTTTGAAATAGAAAAATAACTTTATTCTGGGACACAGTCCCTTGAGAATAACAAAATAGAACAAAATTAAAATATTACATCTGGCCAAAATAAATCAAACAAAAAAAGAAATAATGTAAAAAAAATATAAGGTAAAAATTCTATATACAAAACATACTAAACTATATACAAAACCATTAATACTATGACAAAAAGATCTTTTGTGGTCAATCTTGTCATGGCGCATATTCTGATCCCACAAAATGAAGTCTACAATGTTTCATTTCTTCTCTATGGCCTTTTGTAAAAAGCTGTAATGTAAAAACCCGCAAATTGTAATGTAAAAACCTTACAGTGAGGTTTATAGATATTGTGTCGTTACCGGAAAAACGTAATTAAATACTCAATCAAAGGTGGTCATGTAAATATAGAATGTATAATATTGTGCATAGGAATGAATGTGTTAAGATGATTTATTTTATTTTTACTTATTTATTTATTTTTTATTTCATTTATGTTTGTTATTATATAGAAAAATAACTTTATTCTGGGACACAGTCCCTTGAGAATAACAAAATAGAACAAAATTAAAATATTACATCTGGCCAAAATAAAATCAATCGAAAAAAAGAAATAATGTAAAAAAAATATAAGGTAAAAATTCTATATACAAAACAAACTAAACTATATACAAAACCATTATAGTATGTTATTCTATTTTTATATTTGCTTTTCCTGGTTTACTCATTTATTTTTTATTTTCCTATTATATGTATATATGGTATGAATGAACACATTTAGCTCTGTTACTTATTGACCTCCATCGTGGCAGATTGTACTTTTAAAATAAAATATAGAATTAAAAAAAAAAAAAGAATGTATAAAGCGTTTTGTGCATTGACTAAAGCATCAATTAGCTTCATTAATAGGCTAAAATTATATTTTCTCATACGCTCTGTATTATTAAATTTTTTAATAAGCGGCGGCACTTCCAGTCTGGCACCTGTGGACAAATGCCCGGGTTCCCCTGCCCTGAGGCCCAATCACTGCTTACCATTGTACTAGACGAAGCAAAGAAAAGAATGGTAAGAGGGAATATAATATTGAACAGCCTGCAAAGCAATCGAAACCACTTGATAACAGCAAAATGAGCTTGACTGGAAAAAAGCTACAATGCAGCCAAAATCAAGATAGTGAGAGACAGAGAATTTATTTCATTAATTGGAAAATTTAACACTTGACGAAAAAAGAACTAGTTTTGCATTTTCAAAATAATGAATCTTCGAAATCGCAAGATGCTCAGAAACGAAGTGATCTACACATCGGCAGGTTATCTAGAACATACCAAGCATTCGTGAATGAAACCATTTACATGTGAAGTTGAGTAATTTAAAAACGAAACTTTAATAGACTACTATTGCGTAGACAAATAAGTCCTTTCGGTTTTTCTGTTTATTTTTATGTCACTTTGATAAACTTCTCATCTGACGAATTAACCCTTAAGGTGGATTGTTTATCGTGTTGGTAATATTTCAACAATTATATCTG